AGTTTCCTTGGAGTGAAATTTGACATACATTTAAAGTGGAAACATCACATTCATCACGTGTGCAACAGGCTGAATAGATTTGTCTTTGGCCTACGTAGGCTAAGACAAACCGTGTCTCATGACGCTGCAATGATGGTTTATCACGGGTACGTCTCCTCTGTATTAAGTTATGGGCTTATACTGTGGGGGAACTCCGTAGATGTAGGTAGGGTTTTTATAATACAAAAAAAATGCATTCGCGCAATTTGTGGCGCTAAAGCAGATGACACATGCAAGCCCATATTTAAAAAACTAAACATCTTATCTCCCCTGTATGTATATCAGAGACATCTGTGTGTTTGTTAAGACTAATCCTAAACATTTTAAAATACGTGGCGAAATATTTCAAAGACAAACACGGCCTAAAATTATGAATCAATTATATCAACGTCGTTGCCATAAAATAATTTATACAAATAACTGCTACAACATGTGCATTAAGATTTTTAATAATTTACCAAGTGACATTAAATTACTACACGGACATAATTTTAAACTACAATTGACAAGATGGCTTATGACACATTGCTTCTATAGTAATAAGGAATACTTTGAATTTAGAAATATTTGACATTGTAATTAACTTCAATTACCTGTACCATTGACTTACAATTATATGGACGTCGGGTCCGCGCTAAAAAGTGTCCGCACTTGTAAGGCGCTAAAATCGTACCTATACAGAGCGCCAAACTCCGCTTTAGACTTCATTTGTTCTACTGACAGCGCGATACTGCATTACAATTTAAATTTCGAATAGGTTGACTTGGGACATTTTTTTCGTGGTTTTTGTATTAGACCCGTCGTCCATTTATTTGTAAGTCAATGACCTGTACCAATAAATTCCAATATATTTGCACACCTGCTTGCAGGTTGAATACATTGTACCAATTTAATTTAAGACTTGTATATTTACTGTATTCTGGCAAATAAACATTAATCCAATCTAATCTACTATACGGTGTGAACACGATTCCTAAAATTGTTCACGATAGAAAAAAAAACACAAACTTATCTCGTTTCCATAGATGCTTTACATATACCATTGATTTTTTTAATATCAATTGAACTAAATAGAATACTTATATTATACCACAGATAATACAATACTATACTAGTAATTATACGTATATATATATATATTTTAAATTCTGAAATAAAGCCAGTGTCCCTGACACAGGACCCGCGCAAAACCAATCGTATCACTCATTGACTTACAAATAAATGGACGACGGGTCTAATACAAAAACCACGAAAAAAATGTCCCAAGTCAACCTATTTAAACGTAGTGACATGTAAAGGAATATGAAAAAGCTAAAACGTTGAATTTAAATTGTAATGTCATCGCAGTACTGTCTAATTTTGCTTGCTTCGCTGTCAGTCGAACAAACGAAGACTAAAGCGTGAATGACGCTCTGTATACGATTTTAACGCCCTATAAGTTCGGACACTTTTTAGCGCGGACCCGACGTCCATATAATTGTAAGTCAATGGTATCACTACGGGAAAAACATTAATTTGAGCAAAGGTACAGTTTAAGAGGTTTTCTTAACTTTTTGTACTTTTGTGTCTCTTTACAAAAAGTGCTTTAACTTTCTGACTATAGCCACTTGTAGAATCACGTTTTTTTTTTTATACATGACAGGCAAATGACTCCACTCCACCTGATGTTAGGAAAGTGGTATCCAAACGGAGAAGGGGGGATGAGGTTGAACAGCTCTTCAGAGCACTCACCATGGTACATGCGGTAAAAGGCGCTAAGCGATGCACGTTTAACAAACTAGGTTGTCTGGCACAAATTTTTAAAGCGATAAGACCGCCGATTGTACCACCGCTTATTTCTTATTATTGTATTGTATTTGCATCCATTTTGGTGTACAATAGAAATATTCGTGAGGTACGCTGGTTTGTTCCGTGGCTTATTTGGCATAGCGTCTAGCACGGTTTGTTAGAAGATGTCGGTTCGAATCCGACCGGATCGAAGGATTTTTTTCTGAGTGTTCGATCCTTGTGTTAATAATTATAACAAGTTAGTGGAGTAATTTCACAAAAATAATTGAAAATCAATTCAATTTAAATTGAATAGCGACATCTCCAGCCAGGGCTGGCGCCTGTAAAGTTACTAACTAGGTGACGAAATACTTTCATAGATTTCTCATAGATGGCGCTACTACTCTAACGTCGTTGAAAACCAATTACAAACTTCCGACAAATAAGCACAAGAAAATATAGTATCGTGAAGTCCTCTGGTTAGTTCCGTGGCTTAGTTGGCATAGCGTCTGGCACGGTTTGCTAGAAGACGTCGGTTCGAATCCGGCCGGCTCGAAGAAATTTTTAGGTGTTCTCTTTGTATTAATAATACAATAATGTTACGGAATGGAAGTTCCGTGAACTTTAACGTGGACGTCGTCTTGCCTTGAGATCGGTTCACGCACAATAACCACAAATTACAGGTAGATATAATTAGGAATATTGACAACAAACGGTCAAGAATCCCAGAACGCAGAAATATGCAGAAATATGTTGTTCGGCGGAAATAGCCGAAGGTAAAAGGCGGCTTTATCACTGCGCGCGCGCAATATCAAGCCAAAGCGTTAAGTACTCATTTAGTTGGCCAAAAGTTACAAAACATTTATTGCAGGTTTTTGTTTATTTATTTGATGCACAAAACAGTTTACATCAATGGTACTCCACAATTTATGGTTTTCATTTTGGATGAAAACCTAACATATGTACATACATCATGATTATTAAGCTCGTAAACATAATATGAACAAGTAAGCATACAGTTTCTTCAACATGTGTACATTGGAAATGAAACTATTTTTCCAGATTTAAATCGCGTATATTTGTTTTTTCAAACAAACCGACACCGTCGCCGTCATGTCAAACACCGTCGCGTAAACAAGTCTGCAGTCTGCGAGCATGTTATGGATAAACCTACACATTCAATGAAGTTTGACAAACCCCGGGTCCTTGCAAAAGAAGTCCGTTATCTACCCAGAATGCTGCGAGAGGCCATTGAAATTAAAAAACATCCTAATTTCAACAGGGAAGATGGTTTCTCCGTACCACCAGTTGGGATCCAGTATTTCCTCTAATGAAAACTCCCAAACAGACATAAGACTGCAGTACTAATTAATATGTTTTAGTTTATTCTAATTTCTATTAATAATTAATAATAAATTGAACTTAATAAAAATTCATTGAATAAAATAAATTGTAAAACTTAATATAGCGTAAATTGGAATGTTTTCTTTGTAAAATTAAAAATAAGGTATTTAATTAATAACTATTGTAACTATAGTGAAAAAATAGGGTGGTTTGCATCAATATTAGACATAACTGGTTGAAGACTGTACCACCTCAGTCAACCGTGACCATGGGACCTGTAAAGGGCCCGAAACGTCGGTTTGTTTGAAAAAACAAATATACGCGATTTAAATCCGGAAAAATAGTTTCATTTCCTATGTGTAACAATCGCGAAAACCTAAGAACTCGATATGTGTACATTGGATAAACATTAAATAATATACAAAAGTTTAAAAACTAGTGGAAATAGAAAGAAAAATGTTGACTAATGAGAAGACGAGGCGAAGTGATTCTGAATAGGTACGGATACGAAATCTGTAGAGAAGTTATTGTCAAGCTTTATTATTTTACGAATTGTTGTAAAGAAGTTGGTTAAAATCAAATTGGTGAACCTTACCATGCCCGCATTAGGGTTCCACCAGAGAGTGCGACCTTGCTTGAGGATGTACCGGCCGTGGTGTACCCAGTAAGACAAGTTGGGGTCCAATAAGTCTTTGATCGTATGCCCTTGGTAATACGGATTTGGATTAAATGCCATGTCACCTGGAAAAAAAGATTGGATTTTTAAACAGGTTTTGCTTTCCCGGTTGCTTACTTGAAATTAAAATGCTTTTTCTAATATACGGGTTTTGTAACGTTGGTCTTTTTGGAAAAATAAATTTCTGAACGTGATTTTAGATCCGAAAAAACATCATTTCAATTCCTATAAGTTCACTGAAATACAGAAACCTAACAAAACAAAACATAAAAAAAATTTGCTCAACTGAGTCGTTACGATCGACAGACAATGTTTAAGACAGACTCAGGGTCGTATTCTAGAACTCTACTCAATGCTCAAGTCAGGATTTCAGTATAGTTTAAAGCACTCGAAATCATACTCAAGTCCCTGCCATTAGGGTCGTGTTTCCAGTGCTTGTGTTGTCAGTGCAATCCTGACTTGAGCATTGAATAGAGTTCTAGAATACGACCCTCAAACTCAAACTCAAGTAATCATTATTTCATAGGTAAGCAAATTACATTTGAAATCGTGATATTGATTTAACTCTTCTGCTCATTCGTAAGGCAGATTCCCCTGAGAGGAATTAACAGAAGCTTTAGACGTTGTTTTTTGTAAATATAGAATTGTACACATTTATCATTTACAATATATTTTTATCTTTCAAAACATCATAGATCGAGACTGCGTGCAAGAGTTAAATAGGTCAGTACCACGGATTTTTGTCATCCAAGTATGCAGAAGCTGTATAACCTGTAGTATAAAGTTTTTGTTCCACTTTTAAATATCAAAACTCAATATTCCAAATTATTACTTCGGACAAACAGAAATACAAAGGCTATGTTAGTATGGAAGATTATTATTATTAAATACATCCCCCGGAATATTATTATAGATGCGTGTACCCCTAAATGAATTTGTGACTATTTAAAGATGTCTGTCAATAACAGAAGAAACTCACAAAATAAATCAGAAATCCGAGAGTTTTGTTAACATTGAAAGAATCCAGTTAGACTTCAATAATTTACCCATTCCCTCCTCCAAATCAATGTCCTCCTCTTCGCCAGAACCAAAGGTGTAAAACCCTTGCGGTGAGATGGCCGTGGCTGCGGCAATGCGGCCAATTTGCGCTCTCAGGTAGTTCCGCTCCAGACCCTCGAATGGTGGGAAAAGCCTGATCTGTAGAAGATAATTCTTTGAAAAAACGTAAGGTAAAGATTTCCAAGTAAGAAGAATTCCAAGTCGCTTCTTATTTTTAAAACTGCATTGCGTAACTATCTTCTGAAACGTTCCTAGTATGCAACATGTATTTATATATTTATTGGTAAGTATAAGTATATGTAGGTATATATATTTCTTTATTATTTACAAATATATATGTAAGTCTAGTACACCGTTATTTATTTATTTATTATTTATTATTATATATATATATATATATATAATATATTATATTATACTACTTATACGTTTCTGACTTTGGCACACTACCTCTTCTTAGATTAGCTTTCCTATACCTCAAAGGTTGTCTGGAAGAGATCGCTCTTAGCGATAAGACCGCCTTTGCCCACATTAGTTTTAAGTTGTCTATGTACTGTTTTTGTTATTGTATGTGAGCAATAAAGTGTCTATCTATCTATCTAAGGTAAAGATGTGCACTCTGTGCTCTCTAAGTGGATTTACAATAAAATTTTAACAATCAAACGGTGGAGCACCTAATGTGACTTCCTACCACTAATGATGTCCTTTTATTATCCGGATAAGAAGAGAAATGACAGTCCGAAATGTCACAGGGGTCATTTTTTGTTGTGCAAACGATGTTCGTATGTTCTAGGACTTAGTGCACAAGGGAGTTCCGAAGTGGCTCCAAGTCTTCTAGATGCGTAAAGTCTTGGATTCCGAGCGAATAGGAATCGAACGCAGTGCGTCAATGCGCTTAATTGTGGAATATTTTCTTCAAATTTAAACGGGACTCAATACCAACTCTTTCCGTCAAAACACAAAAATAAAAAAAACGACCTTAATAGTACGTGGAATTACGTCTATTTGCTAAGTTTTATTGAAATATCCTTAAATTCGCCACTACACAGGACTTGACCTTGGAGATAATAAAAATCGGTTGTCACTACTCAAAGTATATTGAGAGAAAAACGCCTTGAACTGGAAAAATAGCAAAATCAACCATTAAAATAATTGCTCCTTAAGTAAAATTTAGGCGCTATTTATTAAAATGAATCTTCATGTGTGTACAGCTACCCTTAGAGGTGGACGATATTCTTCAAAATGAAATGGGACCACTATGGAAGTACCCCCTTTCGAACAAAAAAGAATCATGAAAATCGGTTCACAAATACCGGAGTTATCGCGTAACATACTGTAACGAGGCGTAGCTTGAGACGCGTAGCGAGAGGTACTTTTATGAATATAAAGTGGAATAAACTTCAAAATATACTTTATTGTATTCTTTTACATAGTTCGGCTTTGGGTTACAGATCAATAATGTAATATGTCAAGATCTTCTGTTTTCTTATTTCAATCCTTAACAAAATCTAAATATAAAACTATAATCACTACCTATATTCAGCCAGCAATTCTACTCATAGAGTAGAGCCTAGTCTACAATACATAAAAAAAACTCATAGAGTCGAATTGAGAACCTCTTCCTTACTTTGAAGTCAGTTAGCAACTATCGCGAATCGGCTTAATGCGAAAAATATGGCTTAACACGATCGCATCAAGACGAATCCGCGTTAACAACTTTGGTGACTCCCTTAGTGTAATAAAACCACATGTGATTATACGTCAAAAATGCTTTTATCACATGGAATTACTACAAACTACATGAAATTTTATCTCTCCTAATTATTTTACTGGTACAATATTTAAACCTCTTTCCTGAAAAGTTGTCATTTAACCGCTGCGGCCTTATTACACCAAGGGCGCGAAATGTAACCTCACCTCGGCATCCAAGTCTCCTGTCATGGCATGCACTGTTAGCCTAGCGACCTTAATCTGATCGGGCGTCAGGTCTGGTAGGCAGATCCAAGGCTCACCGGGTTTATTACAAACCCAGAATACCTGAAAATGTTGTGAGTTGAATAAGTGCAAGGTTTAGATAAATAGACACCACAAGCAGTGTGCTGTAATAGTTGGATGCTGTGAAGTGTGCTGGAATAGTTCGCGAAATTACCTTTCTGTTAACCCCCTGTCCAGGCCTCTCAACGGGAATGGGCAGCGGCGGCTGCCACGTTACCTCCGGCAGGGGAGGCAGTTTTGGAGGCACCAACACCTTGGGCTTCTCTTCACGGCCTTCGCCTACCACTGCATAAAAATAGAAACTAGACATTATGGGAATTATACGTCACACATGTTATACGTCTGGCTGATCCGGTGTTAGAAGGCCTCTGTGCTTGCGCAGGTTATAGTGCCCCTCTCGAATGCCTTAAGAGTAGAAATGGTCACTACAATCAAAACTTACGTGGAAAGTGACGGGGATGTTATATACGTCACACATACTATAAAAACACCAGGAATCTAACCATTCTTCTATATATAAACCCCAAGTATTGCCTAGTGGCTATAATAATATAATAATAACGAAGTCTGCCTAACTTTAAGAGTGGTACACACGGCTACTTGTAGCAGCGATGCAAACGCGCCTTTGTGAAACGCGCAATCGCGCGTTTGCATCGCTACACTTGCGATTTATAGGCGATTGCATCGACGCGAACGCGCGACTGCATCGATACAAACGCGCGATTGCATCGTTGGTTAAACTCGCGTGTGTGTGTAAAGGTAGACGATTAGCGACTGCATCGTATTTGCGTCGCATTTGCATCGCTGCTAGAAGTCGCCGTATGTAACATCTCTAAACAAGAAATTAAACTTTGAATTTACTTCATAATTACCGCCTCCCCGATGCGTAACAGATCCAATAGAGCTGTTTATTAAACAGTTCGTCCAGAGGAGTACTGCCAAGTTATCTATTTCTGACGCCAAGCAGCAACGTGAGCGATACTGCGTTCCGGTTTAGAAGGGTAAGGGTGCTGATGAAATTACAGGCACATGGGAATCGTCAACTTATGTCCTTCAAATCTCTGCGATTTAAAGCTCTGAGTGGCACTGCAACAATTAACAGGCGTGTCTCTCACCACCAGGTACACGACATGTTCGTCCTGTCACTTAGTATTACAAAAATTCCAACCTCATGCGGTTGGTCTGGAAGGACATTTAAGCACTGTAACTTCATCAATTCCAGAGGCTTGGTAATAATATAATGAAATTCTTATTTCTGACAACCTCTTTACTAACATGGGCTGTATAAGTTTTCTGTAAATAATGTATATAAATAAATAAAATGTTTATATTTGATTTTATTTAATAATTTCCTGTTTCAACTTAGGCAAAGTTTGTTTCGTAATACGAATAATAATAATAATAATAATTTTTATTTCTCTCACAGCAAATAAATACAAACTTAAGGTACAGAGTTAACAAAATCTAAATTGTGAAGGCAGGAGCCTAAACTAGGGTACCCCTGTGTCTTAGGTTTCCTGGTGCCCCCTCTTGATTGAACAGCTTTTTACTCTACTTAAGTTATAGTAGGTAGCTTACATTATTAAACATCAATAATCACTTAGAAATTGTGCTAGTTTCCAAAAATATTGATGTAATATTATTAATAGTTTAAATAAATATTATATAGGTTTACGAAAACCTGGCTTGGTTCGCCATTTCGGCTTAATCTAATGTAGGTATTATTTGTAAAATTTCTGAAGATTAGGAAAGTGGACTTCAAAATACATAGGATATAACGGTTTCTGGCTCCAAACAAGTCTCCTAATTTAAAATCATCTCAGTTGTGTGTTTGATAGTGTCAATGGCAAAATTTTGTACGTTTGATATTCTGCTAAAAGTTAACGAGTACTGGCTTAATTATGAGTGGCTAGCCACCGACACACCGTGGACACTCCAAACAAATCTCGAAAGTTATTTACCTACTCTGCAAAGCGCTATTTGCACACGCGCAAATGTGTGCGTGAAGTGGCAGGTTGACTCATCATTTTCTCGTACAATTACGTTACGTAATCAGAGCGGCATCATAGCGAAAATTCTTAAGGCGTTTCCCCGAGCAAATAACCTTGAGCACTACACCTCTACAATCTTTCGTAAAACTTTACTCGCGCCATCTAACGAATGATGCAAACAGCAGCAAGCGACCATTCATATGGGGGATGTGGGCGGAGCTTATTTTAAAGGAATAGCCATAGTAACCCCTATTTATAAGAAAGGTGACAAAACCATAACGAAGAACTTTCGGCCCATTAGCCTCACAAGTATTGTGGTGAAAATAATAAAGAAAATCATATGGCGTCACATAACTCGATTCTTAAACAGAGAATTTATCGTTATTCAGTTAAACAACATGACTGTGTGGAAAACAGATTTACTATTACTAATCTATTAGCATGTGTCCATAGTTGGTGTAATGATGTAGACAAAAAGAGTCCAGTTGATGTTGTTTAGTTACTTAGATTTTGAGCGCGCATTTGACAAAGTTCCTCACCAACGTTTATTAATGGAGATTGCGCATTTTAGCTTACGTGGCCAGCTGTTCAGGTGGAATGAAAGTTATTTGACTGTGCGACCTCGCTTCTTACCTTTTTGGGCTCTTTATGACCGACTTGGTGGAACTCGTAGAGTGCTAATCAGCCTTCTTCGTAGACAATGGGAAGTTTTTTGCCAACCCCTTACTAAAATCTAGGCAACTGCAAGATGACATTGATCGCATTCATAACTGGACCAAAGACTGGGTCATCAGCCATAACATTTCAAAATGTAGTGTAATATCGCACCTTCGTTCCCAAAACCCACAAAAAATTTACAGTTTATATGGCAATGTTATAAGCTCAGTCAGCCAGCAGAAAAATCTGAGAATTACCATAACTTCAAATTTGAAATGGGAAGAACACATCGGTACCATGGTAAAAAAGTTAAACTCTTTTATATATATCGAGTTCTTACGTTAGGTCTTTTATATATGTCACACGGAAGTCATTTCCAGGGATGACTGTTGAAGTATTTATTAAGATTTACAAGACATAGGCCAACGCTTGAATATGGACTCCAAGTCTGGAGTCCGTACTTTCGGAAGGACATTGATCTATTGGAAAGCGGACAAAGGAGAGCCATCAAAATACCTCAGGCTCTACGTCGCAAATCATATGAGGACAGATTAAAATTCCTGGGCCTCACTACTCTTGAAGAAAGAAGGGTACGAGGTGATTTAATTGAAACTTTTAAAATTCTTCATCGGTTCTACAATCTTCCAGACCTACACTACAGCTTCGAAAGAACAGTACACTCCAGGAATATCAGGGGTCACAACATAAAAATCCGAAGGCCATCAGTCACTAACACTGCCCACCACATCCTCGGCAACAGAGTCGTTACACAGGCTGCCTGAGACGTGGTTAATGCTAGCTCGTGAACGCTTTCAAAAACCGGCTGGACAGCTGGTTAAGAAAGAATTTGTGTCATCTAGATCTTTAAGTTCTTCTAGTCTTTTTGTGGACTTTAACAAAAAGATTCAGGACTACTTGTGAATTCGTGGACTTTCCAAACCAGAGAATTTCCAAAGGTACTAAATAGGTCTCGATTTCTGAGCCTACACAATATGGTTTAATCTTTACCAATTAGCGTTTAACCTTTGAACAAATGAAAAGTCCTTAGGCGTCATGTGATCAACAGTAAACTAACTTTCATCTGCAGCTTCCTCAGGTCCCGTAGGCTTGTCTTCTCCCTCGGCTCCCTCTCCCGGCATTTCTTTCATATCAAATTCCTGCACAAGAACTCAAATTATTAACAAATGAAAAGACGTAGTCTGAAAAACGACGTGTCACCCGTGTTATCCGCAATCTATATTAACATTGAAACGTTGAAAATTTGAACGTTTAGGAAATGAAACTATTTTTCCGGATTTAAATCGCGTATATTTGTTTTTTCACACAAACCGACGTTTCGGGCCCTTTACAGGTCCCATGGTCACGGTTTGTTTGAAAAAACAAATATACGCGATTTAAATCCGGAAAAATAGTTTCATGTCCTATGTGTAACAATCGCGAGAACCTAAGAATTTAAACGTTGTCATAGTGAGCTATTTCAGAGCTCACAGTGATACAGCGTTTTACCAACATTTACACAACCACAGGCCTGTAATGTATTTATATCAAATCAATTACGTCACACAGCTGGGCACGCATTATCTCCTAATCTTCTTGTTGAGTCAGTGACAAAAACCAATAAAATAACGAATGAGTGTTAAATTTCTATGGCCCAATAAGCAGTCTTCGCGGGTGCAGCTAATCGGACACAATAAGCACGAGCGTGATATATACATTTTCTGGGGGGTCCGCAACCACAATGGTTTTGACCCTTTTTCTTTTTTTTCACCAACGGGTAAGTTTCGGCTAGGATGAAAACAAATAGGAACAGCGAGTCTGGCTTGCCAAAATTTGCTCCTTGCGTCCGTTGAAGGTAGCCAACTTCTAAGGCGGCGGTATGTATGTCGAAGGAAGCTCTTACGCCTTGATAATCGTGCTGTTGGGAGCCTGCGATTTAATTACCCTACACCACATCTTCTAATAAAAAACTGAATTTAAAGAAACGGGGAGACATGTTTACTTATTCCAGTACAGTTAATTACCACTACAAGACGCCTCCTACATCAAGATATTGAATATGGTAACGACCTACTTACCTTTTACCATAGTCAATAGTTTTTCTTAAATCTTTTAAAAATCTTACCCTGACTCTCCGATCAAGCTCCTCCTCGGTGAGATCAGTCTCAGCGACGTAATAATTGTCTTTAGTGCCAAAAATTTTGCCGAAGAACCTGCAAAACATTCAAACAATTAAGTATTATATAAATTTACGTTTGTCTACAATGTCACCTGATGGACAACGAAGATTTGTACCAGGATTATTCCCCATCTTTTCGCATGTAACTTTTCTACTATTTAGGTCCCCCAAGTGCCAGATGTTGCCTAGCAGAAACTACATTCCAGATCCAGTTACACTTGACGATGACCAGACGCGGCCATCATGGTTTATATATTAGAAACTTTCCCGTATAATCTAACTGTTTTGTCCAGAATAGTTATAGATTTGGCAAAGTCTATTACCAGGATTTAGTAATTCCTTTGTGACGGACCATTGCTCTGGCCCTGGCTTAAAAAGCCTAGATTGTATTATTATTATTTTGTTTTTATTTTTGTGAAATGACTAGTTATTTTCATTTGTATTTAACAATTATAACGAACTATAGTCCATATGTGTAGGTAATTAACTAAATGTAAACAATCTTGATACATGTTTTTATTGAAACATATACTTTACAAGTCAAATAAAAATAGGCATGCAATTTCATATGAAGCCAAGTATTGGTATTTGAAGGTAAGTAAAAATCATTTTCTAAATTTGTATTTCATTAAACAGCCATCTCAAGATTGTTTTCATTTAGTTAAATACCTATTGACAAATGGACTATAGTGGAGTAATTACACAATGTAAGTTTTTTAAGTACACCAGTTCGTTATAATTGTTAAACACAAATGAAAATAACTAGTCATTTCACAAAAATAAAAACAAATCAATAACGTAAGTACAAGGCGATGTCGTCAGCTTGTGGTAACTAGAAAGTTACCGGCTGAGTGAGAAGGTTCATAAAATCTCTCACAGACATCGCTACGGTCTCGAAAGCCGAAAATCCACTTCTCTAATCTATAACAGAGTTTAACAGACACAGAAAAAATTCGTCGTCATAGTAACTCGACATGTAGCTTAAACTCTGAGATGAAATCAAAGTCCAAAAATGTAAACAACGGCGATGCGATTCCAAAAAATATTTTACGAATAGTGGAACAGTAAAAAGGGCTAAAAATTAATGCAAGATGCATTGACTTACAAATATATGGACGACGGGTCTAATACATAAACCACGAAAAAAATGTCCCAAGTCAACCTATTTAAACGTAGTGACATGTAAAGAAATATGAAAAAGCTAAAACGTTGAATTTAAATTGTAATGTCATCGCGGTACTGTCTAATTTTGCTTGCTTCGCTGTCAGTCGAACAAACGAAGACTAAAGCGTGAATGACGCTCTGTATACGATTTTAACGCCCTATAAGTTCGGACACTTTTTAGCGCGGACCCGACGTCCATATAAAAGTCAATGGCAAGATGTTTTATATTGTTTTTAAATTGTGTGCATGTACGCCATACAAAATATTATCAAATCATATTTTTTATTTAAAATACCATATTTAATAAGATAATCTCAAAAAACTATTTATTTCCTGTGGAAAGATTTTTTATCCTATTGGCAATATTTCGGGGATGAACAACCTTTGGCTGTCCTTTGTGTTTATTTTTATTTTTTTTTGTTATATATAAACTCAAATACTTTTAAGCAGGAGTTTGAATAATGTATTGCTATAATCTATTACTTTAGAAATTAAAAATGAATAGTTAGTTTTTGATTGATAGGAATGGATAACCGGTTAGATTGTCGGGTTGCATCCCCACCAGTGCATCAACGCGATATTCTTTCTTCATTCAGTTTCTGGCAGCTGTCGTTATCGAATGTGTTCCTTGCTGCGTATGCATCATGTTGTTCAGTTTTTGTTTTTAATTGTTCAGTTTTCGTTTTTTGTTATTTTTCGTTGAGTTTTGATTTTACTGTGTTGTTACGTTTGTGTTTGCTTGCCTTCGTGTGGTCATAACCACAATGGAAGCAGAAAAAAGACCACGCCCTGCAATGTCTGTAACCGAGAAGGTAATGGTAATGAATGTCTACAAGCATACATTTCAAACCTGGCCACTAAATGAATATTGGTATTTGTGCAAGTGTGTCAATAAAACTGCTGAGATTGTGGGGATATCTGAAAGAACCGTTCGAAAAATAATTTGTCTGTGTAAAAACAAAAGTCAATATTTGACATGTTAGCCACTGACTTAAAAAACAAAATATAGTTTATGTTCCCAATATAAAGAAGATCCTAAGATGTTTCTTTTGCGTAATTTTCTATGGGCCGCGACCCATTTCATCTCGTAGTAATTTTTGAATAGAAAATATTTTATGACACAAAATTATTCTAAACAATTTTGTAAATTATCCAACCCAAAAGGGTATTTTTCAATTATTAGCCAGAATGGAACGGAACCTGTTAATAAACGAATGTGGACAAAAATGTTTATGATCTATGAGATGTCACTTTGACAGTGACAGTTGTTTGTTTACATTTTTGGACTTCGATTCTATCTCACGAGTTTAGTTAGTAAAGCGAGAGGTCGAACGATTTTTTCTTTGTGTTCGATCTTTGTATTTAACAATTATAAGCCTAGATTGGTTTAAAAAGCGGACTTAAATAACATGAATCGCTTAAACTTTTTGAGGGGTGGTTTACCATTTTATTATCATTTGTACAAAGTAAAAGATCCAGTAACTATTTGATTCTAAAGTTTAATTAAGGACCAGTCTGTTATCCGTTAGTTTACGTTAATTAATCGATTTTCTGACCTGACATTTGCCACAGGTTCCTTGATACCCAGCATGATTAGGGATATGTATACCGCATAGCACTCCCAGTCAGGTAGACCATAGCCACCCTGAAAAATGATCAACATTAAAGAAATGGCGAACTCGGAATCTGGGAGTCCACTCGCGCACTCCGTCCAACATTCGACCGAAACAACTACTGTCAAATAAGTAATACCCGATAAAATTAAAAGACGGACGATGCGAGTTAAGTTTCATACTTGGCATTGTTTTTTTGGTTTTGTAGGGTAGTACATCTACGACAGCAATTATGTCGGGACGGGGGAAGGGAGTTGACCCCCGGATCGGCAACGTTGGCACCCGAACCATTGCATGAAATAAAACAAGTAGTGTAGTTTCTTCCCGTTCGGCGCATAAATGCTTACCTACACTTCGTTCGGAGCGTGTAAGATTTAACATATTGTTGTTTTTGATGCACCGCCACCCTCGAAGGTGGTGGCTGAAAATCAGTGCTGTGCTGTTGGGCAAATTTTGACATAACCACGACCTATTTGACTTGCTTTAGCACACAAGCTGTTGATCATTAGGTTAATATTATGTTTTTATGTTTTTTTGTCTAATTTTGATTTCTGTGTGTCTCTTTTAATCAATTTACTCTATTATATTGTTGTGCGCGTGATGCAAGACAATAAACGTTTAATCTATCTATATCTATCTACTATCTTAGTTGTACTAGGTTGTAAACGTAATTTGAAGAAAAGAAGGTGTTTATCAAAACATTGTCGTGCCATAATAAAATAACCTTTGTTCAATGCAGTAATAGTAAATGTTATGTCTATAAAATAAATACACTATGAAATAGAAATGAAATACTGAACAATTCTGAATTTGAGGCAGTCTTGTTCAAACAACCAAAAACAACATTAAACACCATCTGCTATTTGCATTGACTTACTTACTTATTTATTATCATTTATTCCTTGAAACACAGTACACATGCATTTTATAATAATAATAATAATACTGATAATAATAGTAATAATAACCTAAGGATTTGTAACTAAATACATATAATATATAGAGTACAAAGCGTGTCTGCTGTGCTGCCAAGGAAACCGTGACCCAGTCAGCTTGTTGTCGTCTCACATTCAAGTGCTACGACCGATATTGACTTACAAATAAATGGACGACGGGTCTAATACAAAAACCAGGAAAAAATGTCCCAAGTCAACCTATTTAAACGTAGTGACATGTAAAGGAATATGAAAAAGCTAAAACGTTGAATTTAAATTGTAATGTCATCGCAGTACTGTCTAATTTTGCTTGCTTCGCTGTCAGTCGATCAAACGAAGACTAAAGCGTGAATAACGCTCTGTATACGATTTTAACGCCCTATAAAAAAGACGGAACGGACACTTTTTAGCGCGGACCCCACATCCGTATAATTGTAAGTCAATGACTATTTGCCATATTTTAAACACTGAGGCCTGCGCTGCTTATAATGTGGAGTTACACTACTTGCATTTCTATGTTATGCCCGAATGGTACAGTAAATATCATATTAAAGTTCACTCATTAATTCCGAGATAGAGATGTAAGCCCGGATTTGAACCCACGACTCTCTGCTTAGAGGCGGTATGTCAAACCATTTGGCTACTGCGGCTTCTTAAATGTGAAGATGTACGCATCTTAAATGTACGCATGTGACAACAGAGACTAACTTCTCTGAAATAATAATTATGATCAATGAGGTCCACGACATTGGCTTTGGTCTGGTCTTCCTCGAGGTCCAGCTCCTGTTCCTCTTCACCCATATCCTCAGCCCGTCGTGTTTTGCTCTCCACCAACTAGAAAACATGAAGTGTGATAATATTTTTTTAATAAGGTTTTTATATGATCTATCTGTACTACTGGCGTGTAGGAGTTCATTCAGATGGTACATACCTAGTTCTAATTAAATAAAAAAATAAATAAAAAAAAGAAGGTTTTCAAATCAACTAAAAAAAAATTAAGACATTCATACAATATGGGTTAATAAATAACAGCACACTTAAAATAGAGTTAGTATTACGATCAAATATCGTATAGCTCTGGAACCTGAACATGCCATAATATTCAGGTGGCCGTTACCGGCCACTAATTCTGCGCATCAAGAGAAGCCGCTCTTTTTCGCATAATATAATAGCTTCAAAACTATCAACACTAGCGTCAGCGAACATTCTCCACGCATTGCAAAAGCATAGCAGCTGCAACAGGATCCTGAATATATTATTATAGGTATAGAACTCGTAGGACATGAGAGCTTTTTGGGTGTAATTAACCCACAGGCTGCATAAATAAAATCACTGACAGTATGTACGCTTTGAATAATGCTATTTTAATGTTGTACAAGAATTCGTTATTTGTCAGAATCTCCATTTTGTCATTGGATACACCTGCATTCATCTGCCTGCACGGTAAGCAGTAATCCAGGGATGACTGCCATCACAAGAATTTCTTTACATGCTTGTTACACAATCACGATGAAACGTTTATTAAACGTTTTAATAGCAGTTAGTTCCGTGTGAAAGAGTTCGTCCAGGGAAGTATTGCCACCTTACCTATTTCTGCCGCCAAGCAGTAATGTTATCATTACTGCGTTCCGGTTTGGGAGGGTAAGGGTGCTGGTGAAATTACAGGCACATGGGACTTGTCAACTTACGTCTCAGGGTGACGGGCGCAGTGGCGCTGCAACTGTTATGGACACGCGTGTAGCTTACCATCAGGCGCAAGACTTGTTGGTCCCGTCACTTGATATTATAAAAAAAAACAACCGTTATACACTTTTATAATTAATTTTAATGAATATAATTATTCGCAAAATTCCTTTTTCTTTGCACATTTATAGCCAAAAATTACAGACGGTCCTTAAACTTCGATATTATCTCTAGACTCCGCTTTTTAAACAGAAACAGAGCAGTGCTGCTTTGACAGAGAAACCGGTATCGCGTTTGTACTTACCCGTACAGTATTGTTTCGAATATAGAACCCAGGAACAGCAAAACCAGCAGGTAGGTAACTAACAGGGGAGGAGCATTGACTTACAATTATATGGACGTCGGGTCCGCGCTAAAAAGT